ACACACGTTCACACACACACACACACACACACACACACACACACACACAGAGAAACAGGTATACAAATGTTAGATATCACTTTCCGATTGGATTGCAAAAAACACTTTCAGGGTGGTCAATTATTTACTGCAGACTCTTGATGCAGGAGAACTCAGCTGTCCAGTTATCACATACAGTAGATTTCTTTTTGTATTCATTGTCACCCACTTGAAGGTTCCTCTTGCTTTAGAGTTGTCCTTAAAATCATAGTTTGACACTCTCGGAAAAAACCCACGTCTTTGCTTTCTTGCTGAGGCTCTGAAACGAATAACCTCCATCTCTACTGGTTTCCTGGGAAACTGCTGAAGGCCAAGAAATAGTCCGGATCAAAAACTCACTGTAAAAATGTGAGTTGTTGATTTTATACCTTCATTTTTGAACGGGTTTAAAAAAAGATTTAGAGTTTTTGTTGGGTGCGATTTCTTGATGCTAGCAGTTTCCAGTCTCTCTCTATGCTAAACTAATAGGCTCCTGTCTGAAGCCTAATATTAGTTGTGGGGGAAACTTCTGAAGCAATAGGAAACAGGACTCAGAGAGACACGGTGGAGAGATGGAGCTTTAATGGCAAACACTGACGGTTTATTTGGAGTTACGGCCGGAGAATTGACAAGACAGGTGTGTGTTGACACAGCGGTTGCCAAAACCAATTCTGAAGAACTCTTTCTGCAGCTCGAGGTTTTAACTAGTTCGGAGTGTAATGATCAACATTTTTCATCAGTGAGACTAAAGCAATATGGACCCTGAATCCAACTAGAGCTCTCGTCCATAGAAAATAATGTGCGCCTACGTCCCTGAACAGTAAACTACCTCATGGCGGCTCGGTCACAGACTGGCAACAACAATACGCCCAAGCTGCCCCTCCTAAAGAGAGATAGCAGCAATACCCAAGGCCGCAGACCTATGCCATGGGAAAGGAGACAATGAGAGGAGAAAATGATGAACTGTGTCAAAGGTTGAATACCTAAGCAAATTATCCCCTAATATTAGTCATATGATAAACGGTCAGAAATTAGAATGGTATTGACTTTGTCATATAACTCGTAGCACAAAAGCCAATATCTGAATTCCCCAAATGAACAAATATTTATTTGAAAGCTGCAATCAGCCAGATAAGCGGTTTCCCCTGTTTCCAGTGCTAACATTTCCAACGGGCTGCAGCTGTGTATTCAGCAGACACACATGAGCCAGGTAACAGTCTGTCTAAATCTCAACAAGAAAGTCAAAAAGTTTTGCTAAAAATGTTTGGTTGTTTTAAAAAGGAATGTTCTGTAATGATTCTTATGATTTAAATAATCTAATTCTGACTTGCTGCTGCCTATGGCCCCCTAAAAACTCATCTGTTGAACTATTAACCAAGCTACATATCTAATAAATAAGTAAATGATGTCTGTGAATCTATCAGTGATGAGCAGGAAACGCACAATGTCACTTGTCTTCATTACACACATTCGTCAAGAGTCACTGAAAGAAGCAGGAGTGCGTCAAACCCTCTATAAATACACCTTGCTTTTCTCTATGAAAACAACCAAGATAAAGAGATTAAATATGCATAGCATTCAGGAACAACTCTTGAATACATCAAGGCCACAGAGTGTGTCACACACAAAAGTGCTAAGAGTGACATCAATAGCGTAACAGAGACTGATGTAATTGCCAAAAATAGCTTGCATTTTTTAGTCTAATTTTAAGTTCCCTCTGTCCTGAGGTGATGACAACAGTCTTGGAAATGACCAATCAGGTTACAACAGCTTTAATCAGAGCTTATGGTCTAGTGTTAAGCCTCTAGTGTCGCCGATTAATTACAGCTCAGTCCAAAGTAGCTTTTACTGCTCCCCATTGAAAGCAGGAGTTGTTCTAATAATAGCCTGCTGGGCGGTGTTTGCTGCTTTAAAAAGCGTGTCTGAGCTAAAAACAGGCCGGGACACATTTATAGCCGGCCCTGGGTTATAAAAAGGAGTAGCCCAGTTCCCTGAAAGAGCTCCACCATTCAGGGTGAGTCCCCGTCTGAGCCAATCAGCTGACGGTCTGAAGCACGAGGTGTGAAAGCAACAGCCAGGTATTCACAGTGATATCTCTTACTGCTCTGAGAGCTGAGACTGGATTACTGCTCTGAAAGAAGTATTGTCTGTACGGGGTTACCTCAGGGCTCAGCTCTTATTGTGGCCACAACAGGGCTACGTCTGGTCCCTTGTCATTTTCATCCAAAGGGGGAGTTTCTAAAGAGACATTTTTGAGGGTTTGTGTGAACCAACATCCTTAGAAACGCATTATTTCTTTGGGGAGGCGTGTGGCGAAGTGGGTTAGTGCGTTGGTGTTCGGATCACGGGGGGGGCACAGGTTCAAACCCCACTGCAGTCAGCATGTCGTTGTGTCCCTGGGCAAGACACTTCACCCCAAATTGCTCCTGTGGGAATTGTCCAAAGTACTGAGTATGTAAGTCGCTCTGGATAAAAGTGTCTAACAAGTCACATGTAATGTAATGTAATTTCTAATGGTCAGCAGGGGGGGATCCGTCTGGTTGTATAGAAGTCTATGATATAATAAACATACTTCACGCTTGATTTATTATCTAAGTCTACCTCTTCCTAATAAGGTTATGGTCTCAATCACTAGTTTAAAGACTTTTTCAACACAGCATGAGGATCATTATGGTCCCATTTAAGTCAAATTGAAGGAAAAGCAGCGTAGTGTTTATGGTGTGGCTACCTTGTGATTAAAAGGTCCTTCCATGGTGTTTAGTGGTTTGGGCGCTCTCTTTTTTTTTGTCTTGAAGCGTAACCTTTTTTACAGTGTGTTTTTTTATAAAGTTAATTGTGACATTTGGGACGCCTAAAATGTCTCTTACCTCGTGTCACTTCCAAAAAGATCAAGATGGCCGAACTATGTGCACAATTCAGTTTATTTCTTTGAATGTATCAGTGTTATTACTGGCTGCTACTTCATTACTTTTAAAATGTTCACTCAGGTTTATATAATGCTGTGTTTTTTTTTTTAAACCATGAATGTGTACTTCTTTCTATTTGCCCCTTTTCTTTATTCGCTAGTCCACTCTTAATAATTTGTGGCTTTAATTTTCTGCCTTTGTGTTAAGGTTAATTTCTCTGCTGATGGACGAATAAAGGATGTTTTATTCTGCTGAAAACACACGTCCAAAAGCCAATAATCTAGTCAGGTGTCTCCGTTCACACTCTTCTTACAGTCTGAGGTGTAAACAGAGTCGGAGCGTACCTGTGAAAGTCTCCGTGCAGGGGTTGATCCCTGCCAACCTCTTGGATGTGCCGAAATCTGAAATCTTCAGGACGCCGCTGTAAGTGTTGATGAGCACGTTATCGCCCTGCGGAGAGAAAAGACAGCCATGAGAACAGATTCAGCAGAAATACCAAGACTGTATTCGGTGAGAACAAATCCCTGAAAGTGACAACAGCAGGTTGGATCACAATGCGGGGGAGGAGGGCGGCGTAGCAGCCAAAACAAGGTGATTAACATTTAAGGGCCGCTAACGATGCTTATATGATGGTGTTGTTGAACCAGGAGGACACAAGGGGAAGAGTCTGCTGACCTTAATGAGATCCGTGATGGAAGTGTAACTGAGATAAAACAGGGCGGGGGGGTTTACATAAAGGGAAGCACGGTTAATTGTTGAAGCTAAAGGGCTGTAAAGAAATCACTAAATGCTGTGAGCAGCTTGGACGCTCCTGGAATGTGTTCACAACAAATCTAATTTACTGCGCACACAAAGTCAGATGGAGCTAAACCTATTTCTTTTTACGTCTATATGTTTTGCTGCAAACATTTTCTATAAAAGCAGATGTTTCTCGTGATGAAACATACAAAAAATATGACATTCACTTATCTTAAAAACCTCCAGTCTCATACTCACAGTGCAGTCTGTTCATCTTATGCACGTGTTTCAAACTCAAGGCCCGGGGACCAAATCAGGCCCTTGATGGATTTAATTACGGCCCGCAGGATAATTTCTAATTACTATTAGATCTGGCCCGCCGGTATATTGCACGCACACCTTCACTCAATCCTGAGGGTCTCCTCCGCTCAGAGCCTGACCCCAAACATTGATGAACTTGCACCCAAGATGAGATGCCAAGTATCTGGCTTGAGCTAGCATCACAGAGCAGCACACTGAGTTTAATGGATGTTTCCTTCTGCACTTTCTTTCTCACGACAACAGGGCATGTTTGGTTTATTCTTTGAGGGAAATCGTTTTTTTGAAGCTGTTGTTGACCTGTGGAAAAATGTAATCATAAGAAATGACTCTGGAGAAGCTGCAGATAGAGCCATGAGAAATGAATGCAACTGATTATTTAATGTTTAATGATGTTTTTATAGGCAATCATTTAAGCTTTGTTAGTTCCAGGTTGAATATGTGCAATAAGTTCATTTCAATAAGTTCTGCAATAAACATTGAACCAGTCCGACCCTCGACTAGTACCCATTTTTAAATTGTGTTCCACTGTGTATTTGAGTTTGACACCCATGAGATGACTTTTGCCTATGTTTATCTGTTGCATCAACTTTGCGAAAGCTACATTTAGTTTTTAGTAATTTGCATACAGACTAAACAGTATCTGGCATACCCAGCTGCTGAGTCATTGGTAAACCACTAGCTAGTCATGACTCTTGTGTTGATGCCAATGCGTTCCTGTATGGTTTGTTTACAAATGAAATATTGGTTTGTAAGAAATAATGCAAACACAGTCAGATATTGGAAATTACAATTGACTATTTCTCCCTTCGCTTGTCTCTCTGTAGGTGATAGGAACACCCCAGAGGCCTACAATGTCCAATACCATTTTGGTAAACAGTCCACACACACCCAGTTCCCAGTTCCTCACTCAGAATCCACCATCAGATGCCTCTCCGTGGTCTTCAGGGTAAGTCTCAGAAGCCTTTATCCGCTTTCAAATCAATGTGGAACCCTGTGGAGATGAATTTGATACTGGAAAGGCACACATTCAACAAACTTATCAGTATCCACGTCACCAATCTTGTCATTTTAAGAGCCTCTGAAGTATTGCATGAGTAAAACCGTCTTTGACGCTGGACAAGGAACTATATCTGTTAATATTATCTGACATAAAAGAGCATTCCTGAAGAACTCTCTCCATTTTCTCTAGTAAATGGCCAAGCTGAATGATATTGTCTCCAGTTCGCAACCTCTACTTCACTGTCAGTTTACAGCCATGTGACCCTATAGCACAAACGTCTGACAAAACTACGCTGAAGTGAAGTTTATGGCCTTATTTGCTTTTTTTTCTAGTGTCATTTCAAAAATGTTCTTTTGAATTCGCTTAATAAGTGAAAGGAAAAAGTGAAATGGATGTGAACATTGAAAGTGGGATCTGTTTTGTCTGCAGAAAACGCGGAAAGAAAGGGGAAAAGAATGGAAAGGGCTTGAGGCATTTCTCCATGAAAGTGTGTGAGAAGGTGCAGAAGAAAGGAGTCACCACCTACAACGAGGTGGCAGATGAACTGGTTGCAGAATTCAGCTCTGCAGACAGCCACATGTCACCCAACGACGCAGTGAGTGCTGCTGCTGCTGATGCATGACCTTTTTTCAGAATGACGCAAATGTAAAAAAAAATAAATAAAAAATGTCGTCCATATTTTAAACTTGATTCTCCATTTCAGCACGTGTACGACCAGAAGAACATCCGACGGCGTGTGTACGATGCACTTAATGTGCTTATGGCCATGAACATTATCTCTAAAGAGAAGAAGGAAATCAAATGGATTGGCCTTCCCACCAACTCAGCGCAAGAGTGCCAAAACCTAGAGGTAGACACACACAGAACACTTCCAAGAAAAACTTGTTTCAGGCTCATCTTTTGTTGAATTATAAATTGTAAGATATGAATTTGTTATAACACTGTTATTGTGCAAGTGTACACCATTTTTAAATTGAATGTATGCAGTATAAGAGTAAGTGAGGGTGTTGAATTGTAAGATATGAATTTGTTTATTTAATACTCTTACACTAATCACTTCCTGTATTCCCGTGATAAAAAGGGACATGCTCAATAAAACGTGTCACCTCCGGTTGAAGCAAAGCCGACGGTGTATGTGTGTATTTATTCCTCCGTCACGTTAAACTATGTTCACGGTATTCCTGCCCTAAGATCATGGCATCGTCACCATCTTTCCTATTCAACCCATGTTATAAATCTTCATTGCTATTTCTTTATTTCGTCTGCAGGTGGAGAGACAAAGGCGGCTTGAGAGAATTAAGCAGAAACAGTCGCAGCTTCAGGAGCTCATACTGCAGGTGGGGATGAACTGAGAGTTTGCTCTTGGCCTTATCATGGGGGCCTTCGAATGTAGTGATGATTGTTCCTAGTTACCTTCTCCTCGTGGTGTTTGTAAGTGCAAAACTGTACACTAAACGGCCGCTATAGGCACTATTGTGTTAGATGTTGATTGCGGTCTTAATCTTGGCTTTTTGTCAAAGTGTTCACCTTTTCGTTGATCTTGTTTTGCAGCAAATAGCTTTTAAGAACCTGGTGCAGCGGAACAGACAGACGGAGCAGCAGGCAAACAGATCTCCACCTCCCAACTCCATCATCCACCTCCCGTTCATTATCGTCAACACCAGCAAGAAAACGGTCATCGACTGCAGCATCTCGAATGACAAGTATGTGATGGTGCTAGCTAGGGATGCCAGACACTGACCATGATCGAATCGGAACGCCCATGCGAATATTAATCGATTATTCACCGCCACAAACTGGTGGTGTAACAAATGGCCATTTACAATTATTAATACTATTATTAGTCTATATTTTGGTTGAAACTAAGCCAGGAAAAAAAAGACATAAACATAAATAATAATAAAAAAATATATAAATCAAATCTTAAAGATAATTTGATTATGGAGACTGTAACGAAAAATCGAATGATCGCTGGCATCCCTAGTGCTAGCCTTCATGGTTGAGCACTATTATATTGTTCATTAACCTTACAGTTTAATTTGAGTGTATCTATTAGAATACTGCATTAGTGGGAGAACACTTGTAATAGTCAAGGTCAATTATTACTCGTGTTACGCCCCTGATAAAGGGGAGCCATAATGACAACACCTTTCACATTTATTTATTTATTGGTTTATTTGGCAGGGACAATGCACAGTAATGAACACTTAAAACATTACAATGTATCAAGCGTAACAGTGCCAGATTTATCTTTGAGCTAATTTCCATCCGCAGTCCCTCACATAAAACATGTAAGAAGTTTACATTTTACAAACATAGAAAAAACCAAATACATGATATGCAAAAGAGCAAGAGCAGCACACACAAGTATTTATGACATGGCAGTACAATATATCAGCAACGACATGTAAAGTGCCCCTGTGTTAAAGTGCATTTAGCGGTGATTGCACGTCTGTTTGTTTCTCAACCGTTCTTTGAGTTGACCTTTGAAACTGTTGAGAGTGGGACAATCCCGTATCTCAGTTGGGAGGCTATTCCACAATGAGCTGCCTTTAATGGAGAGGACAATTTGACCTAAAGTGGTCTGTCTGCAGTGGACCTCACAGTCTCCTCTGGTTTCTGACCTACTGCAGTGTCCAGTGTGTTTTCTGTGGATGAATTCCTCTAAGGGAGGGGGGACGGGGGGCAGTCCATGTAAACATTTATAAATAAAGCACATACTTTTTAAAAGACCTAAAATTGTCAAAGCTCAAGAAATTGTGTTTTTCAAGGGTGGTATGAATGTGGCTTTCTGTCAAACACCTTGATAGCTCTCTTGAATAACTAAAACACATAGAAACATAGAAGAAAGTGGATTAGTAGAACCCTTGTAATAGTCAAGGTAGGTTATTACTAGCCTAATTCGATCATTTAACAGTTACAGATGCCTATTGCGTCAAGTAAAGTGAAAGATTTGCATGTTAAGTTTTCCAGACCTTGGCAAGGGAACCAACAGCTTTGTGGTCAAATGCCAGTAAAAAGTTATTTGGAAATGGTGTTGGGCGTGAGGAGGAACGTGATAGACCTGAACAGTTTCTTTAGACACTGACTCAACAGTTCAGTATGAAGCTGTGTGGCAGGCAGCTGACTTTAACTCTGGCATGTCAACTAATTAGGGGCTTATTTATTGTGCAAATATGTTTGATTCTTGATGCAACATAAAGTTATCATGCTATTTTTAACCCTAGAAGAAACATAAAGTATGTTATTCAACCTTTACCCTTCAGGGTGTCCGCGGGGTCTTAAAAAGTATTAAAAGTTGATAAATCAATTTAGCGAAAATGAAGGCTATTAAAATATTAAACGGCATTTTCAAAGGCATTACATTTTGTAGCTTGTTTTCAATAAGTATATCAATGGTCCAAAGAGGTTGTATTCTAAAGTCTGCCTGAATGTAATCATTGCGTAGGTGTGTCGTGTGATTCTGTGGAGTTTATTTATGGCTTTATGAACTCAGTAGTTCATAGTTTCCTCTCAAGGCGGATACTTCCTTTAAATCTCTTGACTTTAACACGTCTCATTTAGGGTTGAATCCAAGTCCTCTTACATCCTCTTCTTTATGTTTCTTCGGTCTACTAAATGTATTCTCATCTCTCCTCGACTTCCTCTCTTTCATCTGCAGGTTCGAGTATTTGTTCAACTTCGACAGCATGTTTGAGATCCACGACGACATCGAGGTGCTGAAGCGGATGGGCATGGCCTGCGGTCTGGAGGTGGGGAAGTGTTCTCCGGAGGACCTGAAGGTCGCACGCAGCCTGGTACCCAAAGCGCTGGAGCCCTACGTTATAGGTCAGTCCTCTCACTCAGAGTTATACATATCAGAGACTGCTGATGCTGTGGTTCTGGTTCTTTCTTTATTTCCAGGGTTCCCGCGGGGTCTTAAAAAGTCTTACATTTGATAATCAGAATTGAAGGCCTTAAAAAGTCTTAAATATTATCAAAAAAATAAGAAAGGTCTTAAATATGATTTAAAAATGATGGGATTTGAAAGGTACTTCAGTGTTGCGATCGCGTCTAAATGTGTTTTGGGGGAAATGTCCGGGCTGCAAAGTAACCAGTACAATAATAGCCTTTCAGTTCCCCCCCCAACAATTTGTATTGAAATAAATAAACATGGAACCAGTAATCACTAACTTTGTTTCCCCCGGCGCCTTATCGGAGAACACCCAGCTAGTAACCTAGCAACCAAGCTTCAGCTAGCGGCATTCAGAACTCGTGTATCTTCGAATCTACTTACAAATAAATATGGGGAAGTGCAAGTTCAATCGTATTTGGTTGGAAAACATCTAATTTAGTGTTTGGTTGAAACCAGTGGAGGGGAACGTGTTTGAAGCCCGCTGCACCTTTTGCAAAAGAAATTAGCGTTTGTTTTGCTAATGTAGCGTTAGCTAGTTTAGCGTTAGCTAGTGCAGCAGCTCTGCAACAAACCCGGGGACCTCCGGCGAGTTTGAGTCAACGGCAACCCTAAAAGCGGAGGTGGTGTGAACACACACACACACACAACACCACACACCACACACAGCCACACACACATCAGCACACACACACTGCCGTTTATGTTCAGTCATCTGTTCTTATGTTGAACATGAATACGCATTTAACTTTCTAAGTATTTCTTCTTTCATAGCAATTTCCTTCATACTTTCTTCGCCGTGAAATAGTTCTTCATTCTATTCAAGGTCTTAAAAGGTCGTAAAAAGCCCTTAAATTTGAGTTGGTGAAACCTGCAGGAACTCTGATTTCAGGTCCCTGTATTGGTCCACAGAGGGGACAAAGACCAGCTTAATGTTACGAAGAGGTTTTAAGAAAATGTAGCCTGCTTTTTCAATGTTTTCATGCTCAATAAAACACAGATCATATTGAGCCAGTATCCTACCATACAGTCCGGTACCATGAAAAAGGGGAAAAAAACCCCCCCCTGATGAGGAATCACAATGCATTACATTGTTAAAGCAAATCCTGGCCCCCACCTGTATATTAAATAGTTTGATAATAAATAAAAGACTGCAGAAATCCCTACTTTACCATTCCAGAGTTAAAGGGAAGGGGTTTGGGGTATAAAACCAATAAAGCAGGGATGATGATTCATCCCTTTTGCAAGAAAAAGCAAGCTCTTGACGCACATCTAGTACCCCATCTGCTGAAATGTTTTCATAAATGAAGGATTCGAACATTTTCCCAATGTGAGCTTTTATGAAATGAGTGAACTTGCAGTGCTTTCTACAAGGAAAGGGACAACCCATGGTGGGTCCACGCGCGTTCTAGCTTTTTACACCCGCAATAGATGAGAACTTACCTTTTTTCCGATCGCTTTTTATGCTACCTCTCCCCCCTCAAGTATTTCAACAAAACAACAACACATAGGTCCTGCGTTTGAAACACAAAGTTAGAGACGATTAGTTGCGCCGCAAGTGGTCCTGCTTGCCTATCCATCGAAATGTTTCAAAGACAAGTGATCCGCCCCCCCCCCCCACACCCGCGCGACCCCCCCCCCCAGCG